TTTATGATTCATATTAATTATATTGTATTAATATCTTTACAAAATATGACATCTTTTTGACTCATAAATTGATTCATTTCAATGAAGTTAAACTAACAAATTTTCACCTTCCTAAACTATCCCATAATAAAAAAAATTTACATAAACTCTTATTTTACATTTGCGATTTACGAATATTAATTGCGACAAACTGTAATTTTCTCATTCATCAGCTGCTGCGTCCGATGAAACAAACGCTCTGCATGTCCTAAACTAATAATGATGCAACCTAACAAGTAACAATCATTTGCCATTACATAATAAATCCCCCAACAAAACTGAGATTTTTCTTCGTCTGAAGCTGTCCCAAAAAAGCTTCGGCCTCCATTTTTGACCGTTGTAAGGGCTCCCAACCAAAAAATAAAGAAAATCTTTATCATGCACAGTTAATAACACTCCCCCAAAAGCTTATAAAACTCTCAAATCTTCTTCACCACTCCATTTCCATATTCCCTTGCCTTTTCTTCTTCTTCTTCTTCACCTCCCCTAGTTCATCCATATGGATTACAGCTCCAGTCTCCAAAAACAAAGATCCTTCTCTTCCATCGCCGGCCTTTGGCTCGCCGCCGATCGCCGTAGAACCATCAGCCTCAATTCTAGCGACGGTGCCGCCGCCGGCGACTATGCCGAGCTCTATCCCTTGAAACGCTCCTTAACGTTGGGAAGGTTGTTTCAGTGGAAAGGGCTATGGCGGAAGATTCTTAGGAAGAAGAGAAGAATCTTCGATTCTTCTTCCCCCACGACGGTGTCAAATGTTTGTTATGATTTCGAGACATATGGGCTGAACTTCGATGAAGGAGCGGCGGCGGTGGAGCCGGAGAACTTGGCGCGATCTTTCTCCGCCCGATTTGCGGCGGCGCCGAAATTGTTGAGGAGAGTTGGTTGACCAGATGAACGGATGAGATATTTTCTTGATGTGCTTGGTCAATATTGTTTTTTTTTTTTAAATTGCTTTTTGTTATGCTGTCTGCTTTAGATCATTGTAAGGTAAGGGGAAGCGATTTGAGATATGATAAGAAATATTTAGATGTTTGAATGATTTAGATTACTGATTTAAG